ATACTAACGGCGCGTAACTCAATTTGACTCAGCCAATGAATACTCTGCAATTACATCATATCACGCTTCAGTAATTAGCATTATGTTTCCAATACATCTCACACTTCGTTTAAAATTAAACCTTTAAATGTCGTGAGGGGAACTACATCATATTGATACAGACTCTAAACCTATTTGGTTAACCTGAAAAACGCCTGTATATGTCTTCAAAACCTTGGAACAAACTAAGTGTCCTTGGGTGCTAAAGACCAAAGTTGAGTCCAAGAGAAATTTCCTTTGAACTTTTCACCAGTAACTTCAAGCTGCCCTTCAAGAATGTGTTCTTTGCATGTTGTTGAACCTTAAAATTCCTCTTGTAGTCTTTCCTGTTGGGTTTTTAATTCTCTCGCGACCTAAGATCTTTTGTTTACTAACGGGACAGTGGCGCTGTCTCTACGATTTTACTCTTTTGGAGTTTTCTGGATGTTACGCAATTAATAGTTCATTGAAAAGATCACCACCTCCATGACTTGAGTGACATAATTAAAAGGCTATCGCAACGTTTTGGATGTTGTGCGAAATTGTAAATAATAAAACATCGCAGAAAAGGGTTCTACAATTTTCACCTTTACAACAGCAGGGACAATCGGGACCTATACTGTTTTATGTCGAAAAACAACACTTAACCAAAACTTTTTACGTTTTTTTGTTTAAACACTAAATTTGCGCAGACGTTCAAAGGGAACCTTCAGTCATTCTTACGTTGGACATGGTGAAAGATCTCCGCTCAAATAACGAGCAATGTTTTCATTAGTTCAATATTGCTTTGATTTTCGTTATTGGAGATTCATTTTCAATAGTCATTTAACCCGATCTCACGAATGTCTCAGATCCTTGATGATGGCACATGTGAAAGCAGGTCGATCCTGATTTCGATGTTTTGAGCAACTATTTACTAATTTCCGTCCTCCAGGCCCTGAACCACTCGATCACACCATATCCACTACTGGGAAAAGCTTTTCAGGTTGCAGAGTTTTACCAAGCACATCAAATTTATAGACGAAAAGCAAACAATTTTCTCTTCATCCGGTGACACTGCCATACATACGACGGTGTCCACTGGAATCTTTGTGAATCCAACCGCTTTACATCTGTCCTCTTGTCCACTTGTATCCCAGAGGAAAACCTTGCCATCGATACCATACGAAATGAGATAACGATTTTCCTTAAGAAACCGACAAAACTCTACTTTACAGAGATGGCCGTGGAGGACTCTCTTGGAGGAGTTGACATTTGATGCATTGCGACGATAAATAAGAATTGTATTCCCGATGCAACAAACTAGAAGCTGGTTGTCTGACGAAACAATACATTGACTGAACCTAAGAGAGTGGTGAATGTTTTCTACATGGATTGTCGTCAATAAGTGACAAGAGCTTTCGCCATATTTCCAAATCTCAATCTGATACTGACCGCATAAAATAACCTCTTGCTTGTCAGATGAAAGGCGACAACATTCAACAGCAACCAATTTCTGTGACTTCACACTACTCGACACGAACTTCCCCACAACGTCCCACACATCGCCACGCGTAAAGCTTCGAAAAGCCTGGATACAAAGGAGAAGTGAGGCACTGTCGCCTGAAAATGCAATGCACGAAACCGTGTAGCCAAATTCTTCTATGAATACTGTGTCAGTCTCCGCAAGGCTAAAATCTTTAAAGGTATATAGCATTAACCTGCTTCCTTGGTTAATGGCAATATGCTGTCCATTTGGAGAAAGCGCACAATTCTTCACTTCTAAGCCAGGCCTGTCGAGAAGAAACTGGGAAATGAAGCTGAAGCTGAAGCCATCTTTAGCTTCAGGGGTCTGCCAAAAGGAAACCTTCAAATCAGAACTAACAGCTAAAACTGTATTAGTTGAGTAAAAGACTGCTGCGATCGTTTTTTCCGGCACAGCCAACTCTACTAGTGATGCCGGAATAAACTTGAAAGGGCTAAATAGATCCGAAAAAAGAATGGCTTTTTCTTCTGTGTCGCTGCGAAAGAAATAGCCACACTCGCATTGCCATGTGAAATAAACGACGTTATTGTTGGACACACTGGTTAACACGGTACCTGTGTCGAGGGACAAAGCGTGCAGCAAACCATTATCGGTCAAATAAACCAAATAGGAGTCATCATTTGTAAATGAGAAGTGCGTGACCTTTTCAATAGCACGTTGAGGCGTTTCATGGTCACAGGAGAGCTCTCCATTTCTTTTTCGCAAGATATGATTTTTTTGAAAACCATTGGCCTCTAGCACCCATTTTCCTCCTGGTGAATGGCAAATGAGAATATCTTCGTTGACTATACTTTCAACATCGTGAAGTCCTTCTAGAAAATTCGTGTACTCCTCATACTTAAATGATCCGTGTAAGAACTCTGCAACCAAGTAAGGGTTCATCTCCATAATTTCTTTCTCCAATACTCTGAGATATAGCTCCCATACTCCATTTCCAATCCCTCTCCCATACTCTCGACTCCTCGCGCTATAAGCCATAGAAGTGTTTCGGACTCGATCCAGCTCACGTTCAAGCCCTTGTTCGAGTTGCTTTTTTAGTTTGCTTGTCAACATATTCAGCCTCAGCCAGCGGTATTTCTTCATCATCAAATTCTCTCTACCTTGGGGCATAAGCTCATTTTCCACCCATGCCGTCCAACATTGCGCACCTTTGACCTCATGGTCTCTCTTTCTATTTAGTTCCATCTCCATCTCATGTATAAGCTCTGGTTTCCTCTCTTTTAAAGTCTCGAGCTTTTTCTTCGATTCCTCTATTTCCCTTTGTTTACTTCCATAGAAAAATCCTATCAAATCCTCCGTAGGCAGTTGATAGGATTTAAATTTTCCCTCAGTTGTTGAAAATATCTGGGACAGTTGGAAATCATCCACTAGGCCTTCCATTATCCGATCAAACTGTCTTACACTTGGTTCACTATTAGAGGTCAGTTCATCATACAGTCTTCCTTCTTTTATAAGTAAGCTCTCAAGCTCCTCCTCAGCTGTCAGATTTACCTCAAGCTGCTCGAGCTCATGGAATCGGTTTCTCACCCACGCCAATTCTGTACTAGTCAGCTCACCCTCACATTTAGATAGCAACGTCCATGCTTTCCAGGTTTCAGCTATCCATTCTCTCCCCAGTTCCTGCTCACGGTTTACATGTACGTCTTTTCGCTTATGCTCTAGCTCACGGTTGCGTTCAATCAGAAAAGCAACTGGGTTCTCTTTACGCTCCTGCAGCTCTCCCTTCCACCGACGTTCTTGATCGAGTACAAACTTCAGCACCTGGTAATCTCTGTACTGCATTTCATGTGGTGACCCACGCTCTCGTTCAAGTAGGAACTCCAGCTTCTGTTTGAAATTCGACTCCTCTTGATCGAGCTCCTGTCTCCGGTGTCCGGTTTCCAGAATCCGCACTAGTTCCTCTATACAAGCTATCTTATTCTGTAACTCATGCACTCGATCAACTGGCAACTTCAGCCCTTTTTTCAGCTTCACCTCCGGTTGATCGATTTCCAGACCTGGGTTTCTTCCAATCAATTCATACTCTGGCACGCGCCCTCGTTGTAGTAACAACTCCACTTCTCCCCTTAACTTTGGTTCCAAGTGCTTCACCTCCAAGCTCAGTTTTTCCTCCAGCCCCGCCATACATTCCCGTATAAACGCCACATCAAGAATCAGTGCCCTCTTCAAACGTACTAGAAAAACTATCTCATCCTTCGATGCGTGCCCTAGTTCGGCCTTCAACTTCTTCCTCAGATCCATTACTTGTTTAAATTTACTCTTTACCTCATACTCTAGTTTTTCTTGCTTCAGTTCTCTCTCTTCCCGGAATACTGCTCTCTGCCAGCTCTCCAGCTCATCCTTCAGCTCAAAGTTTGTTTTTACTATGCTCTTCACCTTATGCTCAACAGTCACATTCTCAAACTCTTTCATTCGTGAACCTTAAAATTCCTCTTGTAGTCTTTCCTGTTGGGTTTTTAATTCTCTCG